TCGCCACTTGCAGCAGGTGCTGGGCTGCACCTCACTGCTGGTAGCTGTTGCTACCTCCCCAACTACAGCCTCCTCACAGCGAGAGACAGACTGCACCTCACTGCTAGAAGTCTCATTCCCCACAACTCCAGCCACCTCACACTCTCTCCCAGACCCATTGAGGTGGACCTTCAGCCTCCTAATCTCCTCCTGGAGAAGCAAGACCTCCTCCTTCAACTCTCCAACCTCAGTTTTTAAAACACTGCAGAAGCAAGCCATGCTTTGTAACCGTCCACGCTAATCCCCAAAGCAGCTCAGGGTCTGTGACCTCACGTGACGACTGACCACTGACCACAGTGTATATACACAAAGTTAATTTAAATTCCAATTATTGGGATTAACAACACTATTCTCGAATGTTAGTATACGTGTGAGATCCAGCCTTAATGATCCACGTGCACTCGATAGGCAATAACCCAAACTACGTTGACACTTTAAGGCAATAATGCATAAAGTTTGGGAGCAGTTTTGATACAAAAATAACATGTTTGTTGCAGGCCGCCGCCGCCGCCACCACCACGATACAGGCTTCACCAGCCCCGTCCTTAGCCAGCAAGACCTCCCACAGCTCCTCTTCTCTTGGTCCTTGTGGTGCAATGACGCCCCCTAATGCTCCTCCGCCCCCTGCTCCATCCCTGCCCCTGGACGCTGTAGTTACTACCACCATCGACACCACGTCTGCCAACGTCACTACAGCAGTCGCTGCGTCAGCGTCACTTACTGTGTCAGGGTTCACGTCCGTGTACACCAGCAGTCCTCTCGTCACGGCCACCACTACTTCATCCCTTGAAAAACGTAGCTCCTTCCTCAGAAGAGTAAGTATTATTAGTATTGCAGCGCCTCCCATGAGTGTTAAGCACAACATAGATCAGTAATAGAAAAAAAATGTCCTCTCAGAGGTTTGTGTCTCAATGTATGTGAACTGAGTTTCCTTTAATCATGTTTAGGAATTAGTCATCCTAACGGGTGGTGAATAGGCGATTCGCAGTCTTAATGACCCTCTTGTAGTTGTCAAACTTTGAACCCCATTAACCGACCTAATCCGTTGACATTATTGAAATGCAGAGCAATCTATACTAGTATACTCCACGGCTGTTGTAAGTCACTCTCAATATATATTCCATTGTATAATTTGTTTTTATAGTTCCTTATTATTTTCTCAATTTTCGTATTCGCTATGGTTAATTTAGTTAAAATAAAGTTATGAAGTTCATTAGCAGGCTTATTGAAGTGAGAATGTAGGTGATGATTTCCATGTTCATGGTCTCCATGACACAAGGGTTAATTAAGAAACCCAATGTAAATATTTGGTTAGGGATTCAGTATTTTTTATGTAAAGAACTCATTATGCAGAAAATTAGAAAGACGTTCTCGTTTAAATTCCTCTAGCATTCCTATATCAGTATCGTCAGTGGTACTGACGATACTGATATAGGAATTTTCACGTGTTTGAGCCTAGCATGCAAGGGAGGGTTTGTAAGAAGTGTCACTCGTGGTATTTTAGGAATGTACCTTGGAACGGCAAGAGTCCGGAGCCAGCTACACCACTACCACCACATACAATGGTGTTTCCACCTCTTCACCATACTCCCTGCATCACCAGCCTGGGGTCAGCATCGCCACCACCACTACTACCTCTACCTCCGCCTCATTGCACCACCAACACCATCTTGGCTACAACTCTGAAGGTTAGTGTCACTATCAGCTCATTCCTCAGTCATATACAGGATATGTACACCGAAAGATGTACGTTTGTGTATATTCACCGAGAGTTTACTTTACTCCTTATATTAGAGATTAAAGGATTTTTAACTCTATTCAGATTAACCCAGGATTAATAAATAACCCAAGAAAGTCGATCATTGTGACTTATTTCCATTGTTTTCCCTAAGATGTTGCTCAGGTTGTGAATCATGAAGTCGACACACTTCTAGTTATTGCTAGTCCTCGAAGGGAGGTACTTGGATACCGGTGAAAGGCTCGTGATCCAAAGAAATGGGACTCCTCCTTTTCCTCGAATGGAATGTGAATGCCTTCCAGTCGCTAGGCGCTGTATCACCCCTACTAGTTTAGCGCTCCCTATGTGAACATGGGTAACAGATGTTGAGAGACGTGCTCACACGTCTCAGACTACCCTGGATTGAACCCTGTCCATTTTGTTGTGAGCCGAACATTCCACAAGTGAACTGTGTAGCTTCTTGAAATTTATCATTATTGAGAAATAAAATCTATTAATGTCTTCTTAGTCTGTAACATTTAGGTTGGTGATTTTTGTAATAATAAAATTTTTGTGTTTAACATATTCATAAAGTTTCATCAGAAGAGAAACTCGATTTAGCGAGCTGTTTCGTGTTCATGTTATCCAGCATATATCTGCATGATAACGTGCATGTTTTAAGATCTTATAGCGAGGAATTAACTTTCTTCTCTAGTCTCATTCACTGTTGAATTATGGTCAGTGTACATTGAAACAGCCTTAATTACACGGACATAATAATCTGAGGAAGATTACTGGGAAAGATCACGAAATGTAATTTTGTGCCTAATTTCTTTTCTTGCTGTAGAGGGCGAGTCCAGTTAGGTGGATGAAGTTGGATTGAAGCCTCTCGCTGCTGCTTCATATGAATGACACGAATTTCAGCACGAATGTAGTACAATCTACAACCTAATTATTTATCTATATATATATATATATATATATATATATATATATATATATATATATATATATATATATATATATATATATATATATTATATATATATATTATATGCATGCCATCGCGAACGAGCGATGAAAGATGCAAAATAACCACAAGGGGAGTTGAATTTATACAAATTTGCGTATATATGTACCTACAGTATATATGAAACTAAATTTTACAGTTCTACAAGCTGTATTATGTAAAGATAATGCTAGAATTCTCGTGATTTAGAGCCAAGAGATTTAAGCATCCGCCCTGTCTAGTACAGTACATTAAGCCTCCCACGCGTTTCGTGTCAATTTGAACAGTTATTATCCCATGACTGTTCCCAAGATTATAACACTTTGTGGAAAGTGAGTGGCGTTCTTAGCACGGCATTCCTTCCATTGTGACAATAGTGACGCTGATGGTGGGTGATCAGCCTCACCCATGGCTGCATTTGCCCTCTACCTCACGCCATTCCAAGTTCTCCATCCACCCTCATGTGCGCGCGCGCGTACACACACCAATCTTACCTGCTGCTACTCTTGCAACGTTGCATTGCATAGCTCCTGATGACGCACGGAAACGTGTGAAAGATATTCTTGGTTAAAGTGATTTGAGGGTGTGTGTATAAAATGTGTATTAGTGGTTGTGAGATGAGTGTTCTTAGATAGCGGTAATCATGATATAGAGTTGGTGAACGTGACTTTTTGTGTTCTGAAGAGATGTGTAAAAAAAATGCAATACAGTCGTAAATAGGCGATCTTAACAATGCAGAACAACATTTCTCTCCCCATGTGGCTTGTTCTGTGTGTAATATATATATATATTATATATATATTATATATATATATATATATATATATATATATATATAAAATTTATATATATTATATATATATATATATATATATTGGTAGACAGCAACCGCCCAGGGAGGTACTACCGTACTGCCAAGTGAGTGTAAAACGGAAGCTTGTATTTGTTTTACATGATGGTAGGATCACTGGTGTGTCTTTTTTGTTTCATAAATATGCAAGATTTCAGGTACGTCTTGCTACTTCTACTTACACTTAGGTCATACTACACATGCTTGTACACGTTTATGTATACACACTCGTCTGAGTTTTTTTTTATCTTAATAGTTCTTGTTATTACTTTTCCTTTCATATCCATGGGGAAGTGCAATAAGAATCTTCCTTCTGTAAGCCATGCGTGTTGTAAGAATCAGCTAAAATGCTGGGAGCAGTGGCCTAGTAACCCCTTTTCCCACGTAGTCTACTAAAAAGAAAAAGAAAACTGTCAAAGTGGGATGTTTGAATGTGTGTGGTTGTAGTGTGAATACGAAAGAGATGATTGTAGTATGTTATGAATGAAAAGAAGCTGGATGTCCTGGCTCTAAGTGAAACAAAGCTGAAGGGGGTAGGAGTTTCAATGGGGAGAAATAAATGGGATTAGGTCAGGGGTTTCTAATAGAGTTAGAGCTAAGGAAGGAGTAGCAATAATATTGATGGATAAATTATGGCAGGAAAAGGAATATAAGTGTATAAATTCAAGGATTATGTGGAGTAAAATAAGGGTTGGATGTGAAGTGGGTTATAGTAAGTGTTTATGCACCTGGAGAAGGGAGAAGTGTAGAGAGAGAAATTTTGGGAAATGTGTGTGAGAGATTGGGATCTCAATGCTAAAGTGGGTAAAAATGTTGTAGGGAAAGTAGGTAAATTTGGGGTGCCAGGGGTAAATGAAAATGGAGAGCCTTTAATTGAACTATGTGTAGAAAGAAGTTTGGTGGCAGAAAGATGGGCTAGTGCAAGTATGTGTAGTGGGAGGTTGCGGGATGGGTTAGTTTTAAAAATGCAGTATTAGAATGTGGGGCAGAAGTTTGTGGCTATAGGAGGGTGGGTGCAGCAGGAAAGAAGAGTGATTGGTGGAATGATGAGCTAAAAGGTGCGATAAGAGAAAAAGGTAGCTTATATGGGTGTGAAGCATGTGTTGTAAATGCTGTAGTGAGGAGGCTGCTAGAGGCAGTGGAGAGGTCGAGTCTAAGGGCAATGTGTGGTGTAAATATTATGCAGAGAATTCGAAGTGTGGAAATAGGAGGTGTGGAGTTAATAAAAGTATTAGTCAGGGAACTGAATAGGGGCTGTTGAAGTGGTTTGGTCATTTAGAGAGAATGGAACAAAGTAGAATGACTTGGAGAGCGTATAAATATGTAGAGAAAGGAAGGCGGGGTAGGGGTCGTCCCCGAATAGGTTGGAGGGAGGTGGTTGGACTTCGAGCAAGCGTGCGTGAGCATGTTAGATAAGAATGAATGGAGACGAATGGTTTTTGGAACCTGACAGGCTGTTGGAGTGTGAGCAGGGTATTATTTTTGTGAAGGGATTTAGGGAAACTGGTTAGCCGGACTTGAGTCCTGGAAATGGGAAGTACAATGCCTGCACTTTAAAGGAGGTGTTTGGGATATTAGCAGTTTGGAGAGACGTCTAACCTGTCGCATCAGAGCGCCTCTGCAGACAGTGATTATGTATGAGTGATGGTGAAAGTGTTGAATGATGAAAGTTTTTTCTTTCTTTTTTTTCTATATTTTTGGGTCGCCCTGCCTCGGTGGGAAACGGCCGTGTTAAATAAATAAATGTATATATAAATTAAAACAAGTATAATGAATACTTGTCAGTAAGAGTAATCAACCTACATGAAGACAGAAAAGTTTTGTATCTTTTGACCTCCGGTCTGAGGTCCTCTTCAGGAGAATACAAATATTAAGTAAAATCTTAATGACTGGATAGAAGGTCAGGTTAGTATCTGGTCTTAGTGCTCCATGTCAGAGGCAGGGCTTGACCTGACTTGTATGTCTAGTTTTTGTTGACCATCTTGAAAACAGGGTCATGGGATGACCTTTCTTAATATACATTTGGCTGTAACATCAGGTTTTAGACGTCAGGTTTGGTCTACCTATCTGGGGATGTTGTTCAATTAACGCTGCTTCTTGAGTTCCTTTTATAGGCATCATTTGTTTGGTGTACTATATAGTTGCACCTTCCCAGTTGATAGTGTAGTTGTAAGGTTTGATGTCCTGGATATTGTAAAACTATTTTGTGCATACTGTTGCTTTTGTTATCCTAGACCTCTCTTTTATGTTCTATCCCACTTTTTGAAATTTGTGTACTGTTAAAATTACAATAAATTAATTATCAGTACACAAGATAAAAAAAAATAAACTGACATTGTAGGGTCATTTGGCTTGCTTGACTGCCTCTACCTAGAAACCTGTTATATACACTTCAGAGAGATTTTAATCCGTCATAGGATGTTAGAATATTGTTGTTGGTCTCTAGGTGGGTTGTGGTCTTGACGGACATCATGTAGTCGATAAGATTTAAACCTGCGCGAACTACGCTGTCTGAGGCTACTGGCATGTGTTGAAACCTGGCGTTATGTTAACACTGACTCCATGATAGGTGCGGAATGTTACTGAATGAGAAGTTTCCCATAGTCATCTGGCAAACCTAGTGTCATGTAACTATTATGAAATTTTCCCTTTATTCACAGCCCTGTGAGACCCTCTCGCGTTTAGCGCTTATTATGATCATATTAGTATGATTTCCTTTTTTTAGGTTGGGCGGCGGGGGGAGGAGGTATACAGTGTTGATTTCGCAATATTTTAAAAACGCATCAAGCAATCGTGTGCAAAGTTGACCAGTAAATAGTCTGCATTGACTTGATGCAGTGACTAATATTCAATTAATGGTTTCCCCTCAAGGAAGGTTCCTTGATGTTGGTGAGGGGCTCTTGATTTAGGGAATTGGATCTGTGCTCCAGTTCCCCGAATTAAGCCTGAATGCCTTCCACATTCCCCCCTAGGCGCTGTATAATCCTCCGGGTTTAACGCTTCCCCCTTGATTATAATAATAATTATAATAATCCATTAATGGTTGTGCAGTTTCCTGGTGGGAGCTGCACAACTGGTGGGTAAAGTGATCAGTGAAGCTTATTTGTTCACC